CCCTCCCTCTCTTCTCTTTAATCTCTAATGTCATAAATCGTAAATGGATTTCATTTCAAGGTTACTCAAAGGAATTTTGCAATTCTTAGGCAGATGTTAATTTCCGTTTGCAACAATAATCACAAAAAAGGCCTACAATATTCATGTTTAGCCCTTGGTTTGAACTACAGTTTAGCAGGACAATGTGAACAGGCTTTGTAGTTTGACAAAAAATTTTTTTTTAAAGTAGGCGGCCCCCAAAAAGGAAGCAGGCGGGGATGCTAAACATGAATATTTTTTTACATGGCCTAAATTGTGGTTTCTTTCATGTTATCAATGCTAATTCCAGGAATAGGGAGGATGCATAATAAGGCAATCCAAATGGACTTACATGTATTAATCAATAAGTGTTAAGTTAAACCTGACCTCGATCTTCACAAAGTAAATTTCTAGGGGTCAGTGACACAAAGACGTACATGAAACTCCATTTTGGCCATTTTGAGAAAAAGTGGTTTATGTGTCACTAGCCATTGACTTCGATGGGGTGTTGGGTGGAGTTAAGTCTTTGTGTTTCCTGGAAAGCCCATACTTTTCTGAACATTTTGATACCAAATACTCATTTTGGCAAAATATGGAGTTTCGTCTTTATGTCACTGAACCCTCAATTTCAACTTTAAAGAGAAGGTTGAGTTCTGAAGAGAGCATGCTCCCAGTTAAAAACTTTGGGGAGTTGCTGTAAAATACTGTGTGAAACATAAGTATGTACAGTGGAACCTCATTACAAAGAGCTCTGATATAACAAGGTGATTTTGCTGGCCCCAGCTCTTTATATTCTTTTGTTTTTTACCCTGATATAACAAGGCAATTGCCATGGTCCGAAGGACCTCGTTAAATTAAAGTTCCACTGTAACATGAGTAACAGCCAATGTTAATACCTAGTAGTTCAAACTTCCTTAATAATCATATTAAATAATTTAGCTTCATAGTTTGTAAAATGGAATCTGATATTATCTCTATAACCACCCTTGGCTTACTCATTTATTACCTCTTTCAATATGTATGTTTATCATATTATGTGTGTTTATCACTGTCCTAAAATATTTTATTTATATTTTATTTATATATTTGATTTTGTATTATATTACTTTGTAACCAGTGGAACCAAATTTCCTAATATGAATAATAAATTATTATACTTATACTTATCAAAGGGACTAAGATACAGTGTATCATCAAATTTAGTACATAATGGATACAGCTAATCTTGAAAAACTGAAAGAAGTAAATTGAAGACTTATTCTTACAAAATATTTGATTACATGGCTTATATAATAAATATAGATGAGTGCAAGTTTTGTAGTGTACAATACACACACATTTTACCTTTAAAAGGCAATTCAATATTTCCAACAACATTCATGAGGAAGTATTGGGACTTTTTGATAAGGAAATCTGATGTCGTTTTAGCCAAAATTGGACTTGAAATAACAATGTTGACTTTAATATGACCCCATTCCACGAAATCTCAGGGTATTACTTGGTAATGTAAATTTATCTCTTTTCTCCTTCCCCTCCCTCTCTCTCTCTCTCTCTCTCTCTCTCTCTCTCTCTCTCTCTCTCTCTCTCTCTCTCCCTCTCTGTCTCAATATAATACTGGTAATTTATTTCACTGCTAAACCTAATTGTTAAACAATGTAAATACCAGAAACTGGACCAAGAGGAACAAGGGAAAACAACATCCCACCAATACCAAGAGTGTGGGAAAGATGAGAAATGATAAAGCAAGATGTTGATTTATTTGTACATAAAAAGAAATATGTCTTACTGTGGTCACACAAAAATATACTTTAAAATCAAACACATTCTCATGTGCAAGATATTTGCAAATTTCTGAGGTGGTTCTCACTTGGAAGAGTTTCATGATGTGAAAATTTAGAAATGCAACTCACAAAACAAAAAATATTTGGAATTCGCAAAGTTTTCATACTGTAAAAATGGTCTTGAGTAAGAATTCGCTAAAGTTTTGAGTTTTTACAGTACTCGATTTTAATTTTAATTTCAATCAAATTCATAAAGGTAAAGACCAGTTTTGGAAACGCCCCCTCTCAAAAATGAAATGGAAGCTCTTATTACAAATCATGTGAAAGAATATGTTTTGACTAATACGTGATGATACAAATTTTACCGAAAAACCGCCTACTAATTGATATATTTGGTAAATATCTATTTGGACCTGATAGATATCGTGCACGTGTCGCGTAGTCCCATATACATCTTTCTGTGTACAGTGCTTGTAACTTTACCAAGACTGGGCCAAATTTCTTATCATTTGATGATTCCAGAACCTTGCAGTACGCACCAATACTTATACACTGTATGCCAGCTAGATGATCAACCTTTTCTGATTAATATTCCACAACGTTTCTTTCACAATGCAATCGCATGACCAGAACTGATCTTTACCTTTAAGATATTAATCTGAATAAGCTTCAGATGTTGGTTTGTTCTGTATCTTCATCTATGTCTATCTCTCTTTTTCTCACTCTTTCTCTCTCTCTCTTTCTAAATGTAAATGTATGTCATCACGATTAAATTATTTACCATTCCTGGATGATTGATGCAAGGGCTGCATCAAATCTCATATATTTAAATACCAAATTGATATCTGTGAGGTCATATTAGAGAATCAACCTATCCTGATGAGGTTTTAAAGGCTTAGTCCATTCCAAAAAGCATTTGCTTTAAATAGATGCAGAAAAACAAGAGAAACAGAGCAAAAGAAACTGATAATGAAGTTATGAATTTTTTTAAAACTATGGAACTTAACAATTGCTTCATATATTTTTATTCCATTAATTTCCCTTTTTATCCCCCAAAAAACTTGATTTCCACATGCCTTTGCCCAGGTTATATGATTTGTATCATATTGCCTGCAAGACACTTGACAAAATCTTTTATGAACTTTGAAGAGTTGATACTATTTTCTGAATATATTAATAATCATTGATTTTTATATAAATAGTTTACCAAAATTCAAATTTTTCATGATTGAACTGGGAACAGAATTGCTCTATAGTGCGTCCACACACAAAAATATTACTATCAATATAACTTGGATGCTGGTGTGAGGAAATAAGATTTTTAGGGGGAAAATTGTAAGTTTATATTATCGATATAAAGAAAACAATTAGTGGATAATCAAAGACATTGACGTCACAGACCCGTGAGTTGCCAATTGGAGTGGACTAGCCCTTTAAGGGAACATGAGGCAGGCACTGAGAAATCTGTTGTATCAGGGAAGAGGTCTAGGGCTGCTAAAGACATCTTGTCTGCTTTTAACATTATTAATATTAGATTACATTCTTCGTAGATACCTCCTTCATACTTGTAGTTCCAATCTTTATATATATTCTTGAACAAATGGAAAATGGTAACCTTAGCTGTACTGTATATGAAATTCCAAAACAGGGCATGGGTTAAACTTTATATGATAATAAAAACCGTTAGAAGATGCTTCTATAGAAATGAAGGAGAATATATGCCATGGTAGTTTCAAGGCCGGTGGGGCACATGTTGATTATAGTGTAAAAAGGGCCCATTTCTCATATTATAACGACTTAAATCTAAAGAAGGAGCATAAGTATACCCCTGTCCTCTGCCCAACTGCCTTATAAGTAGGGTACCTGTTTACAAATAATGGAAAATAACACTTATAAAGGGATACTTATCAAATGGCAATTATTACATGGACATAGAAGGACACCCATCAAAGGTAAAGGTACAAGGGGAAATTATCACATTTTCAAGGGGGCACTCATAAGAGGTGAAAGGGGAACTTGTAGTTGTAAGAATAAAAAGGGGGGATTATTCCAGCGGTTATTATTGCTGTCTTCAGTCTTCAATTGCCATTAGTCTTTCCAGCAAATTTTGTCTTAATTCTGCATTACATTCATATAATACTCGAAGTTCATCTAATATTCATTTAAATAAAATAAGACTATAACTAAGAAATCAATTTTTTTTAAAGGGCCACAATTGTGGAATAATATACCTCAAGATATAAAATCTAGTCCATCAATTAACATTTTTAAAAGGAGATATAAATCATTTTTAATCCAACAAAATAAATAAAGATTGATTATGTAAACGGTCTGTTTTTTGGTTTTTGGTTTGTTTTTGTTCCCCCCCCCCCTCTAGTAGGCTTGTTTTTTTGTTGTTGTTTTTGTTTTGTTTTGTTTTGTTTTTTGTTTTTTTAATCACCCTCTCAAACAACAATATAATACTGTATTATACTTTATTACTGTTTTGGTGGCAGCACCAATAAAGCCTTTGGCTTTCCTAGCTGTCTCCACATTCATATATATTTTTGTTGTTTATTGTAAATGTTTCTCTTTAACTTGTACGCTATGTTTTGTATTTTATATGTTTGTTATGATGTTTTTATGATGAATAAAATAAAGTTCAATTCAATTCAATTCAATTCTTCAGATCAACGGTCATCAACCCGACACAATAGATGTAGACCATAAATAAGTAGTGCAGAGGCACCGAGGATGCACAAGCCCCATATCCCCCCCCCCCCCCCCCCAATTGTGTAATGGAAAATATTAAAATGGCAAGAAAAGAAAGAAAGGAGAAGGGGAAGGACGGGAACGTCGATCCCGCACTCCTCCCCCAATCAGTAGCCTTATTTAGATAAATAAAATTTTTATTTTCCAGGTAAGTTGGGGGGGGGAGGATCCTGCCTCCCCCCCCCCCCCCCCCCCCCCCCCCCCCCTCTCCCCAACAATTTTTAGTGGCTGTGCCTCTTTTCATATACCTGTATATATATATATATGGGGCCTACTAACACACTAAAAGACCTGAAGTAGCATGTTATATCAACACATGAAGACCCGACTCGCACTGACTTTGGATGCATAATTGCACTTACTCATATCCCTGCTCATGCCCATTTCATTCGAGTAAACAGTTCATTCACTGACGCGTTGTTCATAACAACATAAACAACGTGTACGTACCTTCTACCAGAACGAATCCGAGACCGGTCGGGGAACTCCTGGCGGTTTCCTGGCTCCAGTTCTCGATGGCGAAGAAGCTGTGATCCGCGTTTCCGTTACAAAGTGAAATAAAGCGATAATTTCGGCTAATGATCTACATTCCTGGAATAAACATGGCGACACGCACCTGCTCGAAGATTGTAATAAATAACGGCCCCTAGGTCAGCCTATGTGTATGTTAATTTTTTCAAATGAAGCTGTTTATCTATTTTTAGAAGTGGAACTTCCCCCGCTAGTCTGAGCAAACTATACTCTATGCATATGCAGCAGAGCACATTGCAGACGTGCCGTGTATGTTATCCGAGTCGAGTGCGACCCCGCCCCCCCCCCCCCCCCAAAAAAAAAGGTAGATCCCCGAGGCTGACTGCATGAAACCGGATGAAACCATTATCTTAGGGAGCTTTCAAAAATTATCTTTTCTCAATTCCTCTCTGTTCTCCCCTAAATTTCAATTGTGTATAAAATACTAGTTATGCATTCCTAATGTGATATACGATCATCAATCATATGAGCTAGCTGCGCGCTTCCAAGTCTCTTATCTTCTTTCTCCAGGCCCTGCATCTCGATCACTCATTATCTATTCTTGCTTCATCCATTATTTTGTATTCACATCTCTCTCTCTCTCTCTCTCTCTCTCTCTCTCTCTTTCTCTCTCTCTCCATCTCCCTCCATCTCCCTCCATCTCCCTCCCCCTCTTTCTCTCTCTCCCTCTCCCATCCCCTCTCCCTCTTCCTCTCTTTCTTTCTTTTTCTCTATCTCTCTTCCTCCCTCTCTCTCCGTCTCCCATTCCTCTCTTTCTATTTCTCTCTCTCTTTCAATTTCTCTATCTCTCTCTCTCTCTCCATCTCCCATCCCCTCCCCCTCTTCCTCTCTCTCTTTCTATTTCTCTCTCTCTCTCCATCTCCCTCCACTCTTTCTGTCTCTCCATCTCCCCCTCTTCCTCTCTTTCTTTCTTTCTCTCTCTCTCTCTCTCTCTCTCTCTCTCTCTATCTCCCTCCCCTCTTTCTCTCTCTCCATCTCCCATCCCCTCCCCCTCTTCCTCACTTTCTTTATATTTCTCTCTCCCTCTGTCTGTCTCTCCCTCTCCCATCCCCTCTTCCTCTCTTCGCTCTTCGTTTCTATTTCTCTCTCTCTCTCTCTCTCTCTCCCATCCCCTCTTCCTCTCTCTCTCCATCTCCCTCCCCCTCTTTCTCTCTCTCTCTATCTCCCATCCCCTCTTCCTCTCTCTCTCTCTCTATCTCCATCTCCCTCCCCCTCTTTCTCTCTCTCTCTATCTCCCATCCCCTCCCCCTCTTCCTCTCTTTCTTTCTATTTCTATCTCTCTCTCTCTCTCTCTTTCTCTCTTTCCTCCTCTTTCGGCAAAATTCTTCTTGAAAAGAAGTCTTCATACAGTCAGATGCACCTTCATAAAACAATGCAAAGAGGACAAGAAGTCTTTTTTTTTCCTACAAAAGAAATCATCAGTTCTATTTACAAACTATTAATGCAATTTTCTTTCTACAGACAACAGAAAAGGACAAATCATATGCTCAATCAATAATTGATTATTATGTGAGTGAAATTTGCAAACAAATCTACAATGACCACACACTATTATACACACACTTATAAATATCATGTAAAATGGAATGATTTTTATAATATTCTACCAAGGCAATTTTATGCATTTGTTTTTCAAATAAAGAATCAAACTTAAGGCAAAATGATTGAAAGAAATGTACTGTATAAATAGAAAGGGATAGGGAAAAATGCAAGCAACCAAGGCCAAGTCTACAAATATTTTTGATTTAATAGGCCTAAATCTGACTTGATTGCAGGTCTCAATCCTAAGTTGTAATCACCTATTTCTGATGTAAAGACCTGCAATTGCTTTCCTCTTCATTGCAATCGATCATAGTTAGAGATGGAGTTCAGACCTGGGCCCGTCTTATAAACAGTTGATATTAATCACAACTTATGTTTGATTGATATCAATCGCAACTATGGATAGGACTCATAGGAGACTGCAAAATTGCGATTGATTGGAGGACTTGCGATTGATTTGGATCAATCCCAACTCGGTCTTTATAAGACTGGGTTCTTGGGTCCCAAGATCAAGACCAAAAGAAAAAGTTAAGGCCATGTCCATGTTAGTGTTTCATATAAAAATAATCATAATAATTTTGTTTTATCCAGGAAAGCCTCATCAGCATCATTAAGTGCTGCTTCTTCCTAAAGGCCCTAGCTGCAATTACCCAAGCAATTGCCAAGTACCCATTTACACCTGGGTGGAGAGTGGCAAATGTGGATTAATGACTTTGCAATTAAAGGATGTTAGTGCAAGGCTTGGATTCAGACCCTCCTCATCCCTTGGATTGAGATTCAAGTGAATGACTATACACCAAGACACCTCTACGCAACACCATCAGGTTGATACGTAGTTCTATTTTAGATACCACACACCCAAGATCGAGACTGCATGGTCTTGCTAAATCACTGCTTTTTCTTCTTTAAGAAAATTCCACATCAGGGACCGGTTTCACAAAGCCTTTTTTCAAAAACAAATGACAAAAATGAGTGACAATTTTTGCTGATAACCAATCAGAAGCAAGAATTCCACTAGCTTATAACAAAAACTGTCATTTGTCACTGATGATAACTTTTGTAAAATGGGGCCTAGGACTTACAGGAGCAAAGTGAGAAGGTAAATAATCTATAATTTCTAGAACCACTGCACTCATGTCTGTACATAACAAAGTATAAAACTAATCATACAAATAATGGAGTTGTATACTTCCTTTTCTAAACATGTTTTTTTCTTTCTTTTTTAAATAATTTTTTTTCTTTTGATACCTCAAACAACTAGCATTATATTCTTATTCAAATATTGATTTAAGAATAGGTAATAAATATTCACTTACACCTGTTGGCCACCTTCATTTCAAGAGCCCGGAGTAAAAACTAAAACAAATGCATTATCGATAAAGGGAAATACTTGAAATGAAACTGGTCTGGGTTAACTCACTAACTTTGGCTTAAGATACAGCAATATATCAGTCAATATGATAAATAAAACAGAACAAATTACATTATCTTGAAAGTGAAAGTCCATTCTGATATCAAATTGGTTTCCATAAAAGCAGAAAATTGAAAGAAACAAATTAGTGAAATTTGGGGCAAAATCATATTAAAAGTTATGAAATTTTGAAGTTGTCATCAGAGAAACACAAATTTGCAACACTTGCCAGCTCCTCTACAGAAAGTTGTTTACAATTTGATTTTCTTAGTTATTGATGGCAGCAGAGGCTTGTATTATACAGCAGTTGTATAAAAACATATTTACAAATTATATTTAGGGTGAATGTTCGATTGAATATTTCCTTAATAATAAAGGGAAAATATACATCTTTGAAGATTTTTAGTACAGGGCAAATGGGAGGAGACATCGCACGATACTTCACAGAGTCCGTTTCAGTATTTAACCTGTTTCTCTAACCTTTCTGCTTCTATTAAAATCAACATAAGATCAGGATAGACTCCCCCTTTAAATCGATTGACAGGCAAAAATGTTGTATAAATGGCTCGGTACTCTTATTTATTATTATTACTCTAAATTATTCAATGCTGATAAGGGATCATATTTACCTGTGAACAATTAAAGATATGGAAGTCAGGTTTGACAATGTGATAATATTCTGGTTATCGATCTCAGGAATGTCATATTCCAGAATCTTGGCCTCAACCTTTGAAACCAGACACAAATATTTGTGCATGAATTAAAAAAATATCAGTCTCGAGCTGGATTTAAGATTCCTCTATGAGTTTTAGGGCCGACTCCCATCTACCTAAGTATGATTCCTTTCATTTTTACTTTTTAGTGCATTTTTATAAATGCATATACAAATGACGAGAAAAGCACCCAAATCATCTGTATAAATACATTTATTTGTCTCTTGTGATCATAGATAAATATCAGGGAAATGCCAAAATTATCTAATGGATAAGTTGGTATGTATGACATTTTGGAAGAAACATATATATATCACTCAAGTGTTTGTTTCATTTGTTATCTTGATATCACAAACACTTTGGAACTTAGAATAGTTATGTTGTCATAGCAAAGTCCCCCAAATTATGAAGTATCTTTAATCAAGTCATCGGGTAGATAAGAAAAGGCCTTCAAAAGGTTCTTGTCTTGAACTGTATATAGCTAGTTGTTTGAGCTATCATGTGCAACAGAATAGATCAGGTTACTAGTGTATGCCTACAGCTTTTATACTTCTTTTTAAAAAAAAATGCTTTGGTGGCCTGAAGTTTTCCTGAGGATTGCCATACTTATCAACACATACATATTAAGAGGATTTTTAACCATAGTGATGTCATTATACATACAGTGTAATTTATCCCCTGGTATTATGAAATGGAACATCCAAATATTGGAATTAGGTACTTGCAAGCTAACTGGTTTCATTGCTATACATTTTGATACCCCTATATGTTCCAACACAATAAAGGCTACATGTCATTCAATATAAAAACAATACCTCAACAGTACTCTCATTACTGCCCTACAAATAAATCTTTTTTTTTAAACTTCAAAATAAAATACTCGTTAAAGTAATCCTACTATAGATGGTAACATTTAAATTTGGTGGTAAAGTTTTCCAGTTCTCTTTCTACACAAGTTAACATAACTAGGTTAATGTCATCACAAAGAAATGTTATCACAAGTAGTATTTACACTAATATATGTATGTACCATACAACGATTCAACAAAACAAATACCATGTGCATGATCCATCAAAAAATAATAAAATAATATTACTCTTTAAATTGATTTAAGAGAAAGAGCAAACATGCATTGCATACTTTCCCTGGAAGACTACTGGATTTCAGAAATATTTCAAATTATATGATATTATTTTTTTCTTCATCTGTTTGCATCCTACAAGAACCTAGCTCCCACCAGCCCCCCCCCCCAAAAAAAAATACACCGTTACCAACTAACATCTATCTACAGATAATCCTCAATGCTTGGCGTCGATGTACATGTGAACAATATGTTGAGGGCCATATACTAAAAGAAAATTTAGAAAATAACAACGTGAAAAGTACATAGTACTACAAGTTGTTTTGTTTTTGTGTTCATTTTTTGAAATGATTGTAATTACCTTCAGTTACATGTACACTGTACATCTACACGTATGCTCATTTGCACCCTTGACACGAAGGGTGTGGTCAAAAGACAGGCACAAGATTCCTCCAGTACTTTTATCAAACATCCACCTATTTGGCAATTAAACTCTATACTGTTTTAATCTATTTTAATCATAATATTGTCATCTATAAACAACTACCGGTATACTGTTCTATAACTCTACATCATGATGTATACAACAGTATATACATATATTTATAGGGGGGTACATACTGAGCTAAGAATCAGAAGGACATTAACATAAATTGAATTTTCATTGTTTCACAATCAAAAATTTTCATTGTTTTACCTGTGAGACTTTCGCCTACTCGTTGCTGCAGGCATTGTCAGACTGACGTTTTATCGCCACTAGATGGGGTAGTACGATAGTCAGAGAGAATGGGAATGAACAGTGATGATAGGTTGAACTGCATGGCCCATGCCGCGGTTCAAATTAAGCAGATGGATCAGGGAGGGAGGCAGTGCATATATATCCAGAAGGAATGCGACCATGTGTGTTGGCTCTAACCGGTGTGTTGGCTCAGTCAGTAGAGCGTCCGCCTCACAACCGGGAGGTCGTGGGTTCAAAACCCGGCCGCGTCATACCAAAAGACGTTAAAAGACGGGAGTTGCTGCTACCTTGTTTGGCGTTCAACAATAAGGGATAGAGCAATGTCGATCTGGCGCTGCTCACACTATGAACATGACAGACAAAGAAAGCGGACAAAATATACAGTTCCTCAGTTACACAAAGGACCATCCCTTCACTGCTATTATGTAAAAATGTGTAGAACAGGTGTCACATACATATTCACCTTTTTACATAATAGCAGTGAAGGGATGTTCCTTTGTCTACCTGAGGAACTGTATATTTTGTCCGCTTTCTTTGTCTGTCATGTTCATAGTGTCAGTGGCTGAACATGAAAAAAAAAAAAGAATTTCCATTTTTGGTTTAACTTAATAAAATTTGGAGTGGACTTTTAAAGATTATTATTATTATTATTATTATTATGCCATGAACCGTGACATTGGCCAGTTTAGCCTATCATTACTCCCGGCCCCCCCACTCAGGTTTCAAAATGACCGCATGCGTGTTGCCAAAATGTCCTTTTCGTAACAAAAGAAAAAGGTCGAGCCGTATTGACTTTACACACCGGACTTTTGCTGAAAAGGGGGGGATGCTGAAAAAGGCTCGTATACAAAAGAAAAAGGTCGAGCCGTATTGACTTTACACACCGGACTTTTGCTGAAAAGGGGGGGTCGGTTGGAACACGCATATGCGTACCCTAAATAACACTGAGTGGGGGGGCCGGGTCATTACTGTACATGCATTCCCATTCTCTTGGACTATCGTACTACCCCAACTAGTGGCGATAAAACCATAGTCTGACGATGCATGCCTTGACTTGCGCTCCACAAATTGGTTTACCAATGAGTTAGCTTGCTTTCAAGAATATGAGCCAGAGTTTTTATCATGAGATAAAATCTTCATTAGTAACTAAATTCCCTTTTTATATTATTTAAACATCATTACATATACGTATAGAGTTCTTTTCTTTTATACACATCATTTTAAATCATGTTTGTGAAAGCAGGGATAATTTATAATTGACTGACAAGGTGGAACCAACATCATTTTCTGGGTGATTATACTTTCTCTGTGAAATTTCACCTCCAGTGCACTATAATAACTGATTTCAAGGCTATATTTAATGCACTAATTATCTTTTCATCCCACATTTTAGACACACTAAAAATTGACACAATTTTACTACAAAATTATTCCTCATGCATAGAAATCATTCAAATAGGCTCATTAATGAGGAGTTATAAACATAAATATTGAATACAATATCAAATTTGATCCTACAGTGTATCAGACTATGCCGTTGAATTAGATTACACATATAAATACAAATATACAATAAAAATAGAGTCTCAAGGTGACAGACATTAATGTACAAGTACTATACAATTCAGGGTTGGAATTCTGAAAATGATGTTATATCTTATGTTAGTTTTTTGTAAAAGATATTAATTGTCATAACAAACACAAATCAGGACAAGCCATTGGTTTAATACTGATCCTTTGAATGGCTTTTTTTTATAAATCAAAGGTTCAAAGAACAACATAGGAGCAACTGTACGAATGATCCATCATACCGGACAGTACAGAGCTGCATAAGCCTGACATCTAAAACCTGTAGCCGTAGTACTCTGTGTAACGGTAGTTCTGCGCTACCTCTAGGGCTTTGGACAGGTTGCGTGACTTGCGGGATTGGCGGGCCCTCTTCCTGGTCTCCAGGGCCCCGGCACGACTCATGGATCGGGTCTCGCGCAGAGTGGCATTCTTGGACTTCTTCCATCTAAAAAGAAAACAAAATCAAAACATCATTAATATACCCCTGATTTGGTATAGTGCTATGAACTCTTCATTCTCCATATATACCCTGGCCTGCCACATTATATTTTGTATTTACTTATTTATTCATGTATTTTTGTATTAATTTATGTAAAATCTTTAACCACAGGAGCCTGTTTAGTTACAAATATACAAAACTAAACAAATTCATGTGCATTAATTAAAATGAAATTAAAATGATTCTTGTTTTTCACAGGCTCTATAAAATGAAACCAAATATTTTGAGTACATTACACATATGCACTGTAAGTGTGACAAAACTTGACACTGGCAGTCCTGTTTGTTCCATCAATCAACCAAAGTCAGTAAAGAGTAATACTCTCTAGATTAGTTTAGATTACATTATTCCTTTTGGTGCAATATTAGAAGTAGATTTTTGACACATCTTTGTTATCAACTGAACACCTGATATTATTGACAAAGGCAAACTGAAAACATATAGCTGAGATTAACTTTATGTTTATCAATGTATATATATATTTTTTTTAAATTTCAAGGGGGAAAAACATCATTTGTTTCACACTGGCACTTCCAGAAAAACTTTTTTCATTCCATTTCAATTGGTCAAAAAGTCAAATATACAATCCAATCCACAGAGTATGTTGGATACCGCATTATTCTTATGGTAAGTGTTCACAATATAGCAAGAAACTCTCTCTTAAGGCTGTGGAAGGCTACGTCCTATTTCAACAAAGAGAAACTTGTGTCATAGAACCAGTCTACAGATGTTCCTTTGGCTATTCATCACCCTCCCCTACCCCCTCCCCTCCCCATTCTCAAGGTTATGTTTATTACAGATCCCTCATATGATGCAACTATTCCTCTTTCCTAAATATTTGTCTATGTGGGGAAAACTTTCAAGGGCGATTGTTACGCAGCCAATTCCTAATTATACTAACAAACTCTAAACCTCATTCCTAGACCCAACCCAATTCTAGTTAACAACCTACACCATACCCTTGACAAAACAAATATAATCAGATCATCACAATTATAAGTGGCCTTTAAGTGGCCTTGTAGAGGTATTGTGGTCGAAAGGATATGTCATCGGACTGTGAATCACAGGGTTCATGGTTCAAGTCCTGGGGCGCCACTAGAGTCCTTTGGCAAGACATTAATCTACATTTGCCACACTCAACCCAAGTGAGATAAATGGGTTCCTGGTAGGATTCTTCCTTGAAATGCACTGTGCGCTGATAACGGCTGCAGGAGCTCAGTTAATTAAAGGGAATAATTTCCAAAGCTCTTTGGAAGCGCATAGGGACGTTCTTTAATGTGATATACATGTATATGCGCTATACTCAGTTTGTCTAGCATTATTATTACAGACAGGTTTGAATCCATCAACCAATATTACTTACTCTTTGAAAGCTCTCTCACAATCTTCCCTGCTACGCATAAAGTACGCCTGTTTCTGTTCCTCGGACAACTGCTGTTTGACACTCGCTTCTGATTTTTTCTGCTCTTTCTTCCTGTCCAGCCAAGATTTAAAGGCCTCTTCTGACAACTTCTCCTCCTGTTGAAAAATAAAGCAAGTAGAAAGAGTCAACAAAATGAAAAAAAAACTCTAAAGCAGTCAACTAATAATCACACTATTTAAACAATATGATGTAACTGTTTACACTTAAATGGTCTTTCCATATTGATTCAATGTGGTCACCATTGTTATGACTCATAGTATTCAGGATTGTTGTGATGATTATACTTAACTATATGTGCAAAAATACACATCAATACACATTTGGTTCATTTCAACTTATGAAGATATGTTTGCTGCGTGTCAAAAGCCTTCCTATATTATATATATATATTTTATTCAGTTATCATGTACATGCACATCAAATGTGGGTCATTACGTTTTTCAAACATTCTATTCTGACAGTACAGTATTAGACTTTCCATGCACCATTTTCCTGAGTACAGTAACTATTTCATCTGATTAAAAATCTTCGACTGGATACAACTTGTTCTGCATAAAACTACAAATGGAGAAAGATATTTGAAGAATAGAAAGTTGCTGGTTGATTGGAAGCTTACCGTATTTTCATGTTCTGCCTTTTTCCTCTCCCTCTCCTCCCTTTTCTGTTGAGCAACCTCTTCCTTCTTTCTCTCCACCCATGCCTTGAAGACAGCTTCGGACATCTCCTCTTTCTCCCTCTTCTCCTGCTCCTCTCTCTCCTTCTCCTCCCTCATCCTCTGCGTCTTTAGGCGAGCCTGCTCCCGTCTGAACTCCTTCTGCTCCGGCGTCATTCCATACTTGGAGCGAGAGTTCCCAAATGGCTCGTCGTAGATGGCTCCAGGTCGATCCTGTCTATCGTACTCCTTATGAGTTTTGGCAGACATGGCTCGTCGGGGTGATGGCTTCTGGTTACCGGCCCTTGCCCCGCCTCCGGTAGCCGTTGCTGGGCGTGGTTTCTGAGGGGGCTTGGGCTGTACTAGCGGTAGCTCGGAACCACTCCTGTTTGATTGTGACTGGCTCTCCTGTAGTCCAAGGAACATCTGCCTCTCCTCCGCACTGAGATCATTGACATGCACTTGATCAAATTTCCCACCGCGTTCAACAAGCACATATTCATCTTCCCCTTCTCCATTTGTTGCGCTTGTTTCTTCTCCCTGGCCAGAATTTCGGCTTAACAACCTATCATTCTGCACCTTAGGCCTCAGAGTTAATCTCTCCACTTCCAAATCATTAGGATCACTGCTGCTACTGGCATTAACACCTCCACTTCCAGAAAAGTTGACGGAACCATCAACCGCATCCGATGAGGATGCATCCTTGTGATTGTCCCGAGGAGCGGCACCATCCTCTGAGCTTTCATTACTAGGAACAACCTTACTTTGTTCAGTAACAGTGTTTGTATCACTTGGCTTGCCTGAACCAACCTCAGTCCTATTAGGGAGAGACTCTGAAGGACTAGGCGACACCAACTCTACATCCTCTTGCCCACTACTACTACCATGGCGCTTCTGGACATCACTTCCTTCTTGCCCCTGCTCAGTTCCTGCACCCCCTTTCACCCCATTTTCTGGGTTACCCCAGCCTTCCCTCACCCCTTGTTGGGGCGGAGCATCCACCCCAATACCCTTCCCAGGCACTGCTTCTCCACCCTCTTTGCCTTCTCCTCCTTCCACTTCCTCTCCCTCTCTCGTCTCCTCCTCCTCCGGATAATCCGCAGGTGGTACAGCCATGCTGATCACATTCTCTGGAAATTGGACCTTCCTGTTTTTCTTCTCCTCGATGGGACCCTCCTTGGCTAACTCCTCGTTGAGTTTCTTGACACGAGCAGCGATGTCGTATTCCGGAGTCATGTCGTCTGGAGAGGTGGAGTCCATCTCCAGTTCCTCTCTGAGTTTCCTCAGCTCTTCATCAATTTGTCTCTGCTGAGCATCCAGTCTGTCCTCTTTATCATCAGGTTTCTGTTCAAATATTTAAAAGAATACAGTTGTCAATTTGAGTTTAATCAACTACTTAAAGGTAAAGACCAGTATTGGAAACGCCCCAATTTCAAAAAATGAAATGGAAGTTCTCATTACCGATCATGTGAAAGAATATGTTTTGACTAATACATGATGATAAAAAATTTGCCGGGAAACCGCCTACTAATTCATATATTTGGTAAATTTGTTTCTCTCATGGTCTGTGAGAGATATAGGGTAGTCCCATATACATCTTTCTGTGTATAGTGCTTGTAACTTTACGAAGAATGGGCCAAATTTCTTATCATTTTGATGATTCCAGAACCTTGCAGATGCTAGATGCTAGATGATCAACCTTTTCTGATCGATTCCACAACGTTTCTTTCACAATGCAATCGCATGACCATAACTGGTCTTTACCTTTAACAACATTATACAAATTCATGACATAAGACATGTATGGTAACTTCATAACTGTTTTTTTTTAATGCAATACACGTGTAAAAAGTCATTAGCATTACAACATTTCTTATCCTTATTTTTGTCATACTTCCACTGACCTAATCCGCTCATTTTCTACTTCTATGCCAGGGTTTTTCTTCCCCTTTAAAGGGATCGTTTAACAATGTTAAATCTGAGATACACGGCCATACGTGTTTAGTGTCTTTAATATGGTGTAATATTGAAGCCCTAAAAAAATTGCGCTTCAAAATGATCAAGAAGTGCCTCAAAAAAGTAAAAATCTTTGAGTGACCGGTTTTACCATACTCGTTTTCCCCAATAGACTGTAGTGTTATGAAAACCGTCAGGCGAACGGTTTTCAAAATTTGTAATTCCAATCATAAATATCTTGATAATCAGACAGGCGATCGGCTTGTAAAAGTCATGGGGTTCCTGACTGACCTAAAGGTTTATAATTATCATTGCATCATGAGCTAAATCCAGAATTTTGTTTCAGAATCTGAGACAAAGTTACCGGATCCCTTTAAGGAAAATCTAATGCAAAGGCACACATAACGTTCAAACGTGTTACTATTAATTAAAACTTCAAGCGTGATCAATTAAATGTCAGAGATTACAGTAAACTTCCTCTTTTAACGCATTTCACCTTCTAGAATAAAATTCCACAAGAGTAAAAAAAAAACATCAATTTACCTTCTTGCAAGGGTGTTGTCATATCAACTCATGAACACTCTACATAATTTTGTTTATCTTTTTCACTGTCCTTATAAAGCTCCCAAAATACATACACAAAATACAGCATACAGAATTGAGATTGTAAGCAGTGATACTGAAGCAAAAGAGAGGCTGTTAATTCATCAAAATTAATGTGTCCATGCACTAATCGAGATGAAGAAAAAATATGAATTTAAAATCGATTTGGCCTACGCTCCAGAACAGTTCCTAATCAAGAAAAGGGATCTCTTCACTATACAAAGCTTGATTGATATTGCACTATTGTATCCACCATGGATGAGGGATGGTGGGGTGACGATGAAATTGCTCGCCATTACACTGTAGGCATTAAACCATATCTGGGATCTAAATTAATATACCCTAATGCTGTCATGGCATTGCTATGGCAACCTGCATGGGAGCATGCACCGTCGGAGAGAGCAAATATGAAGCAGACATATTTTGGTACGTGTTTTCAGTCATGACAGCGTGAAGGAAAATACTCTCTTCACCAGCTGTTGGTGTTGGCTAATAGGTGTGTTAAGTGCTTCATATTCAGGAAGCTTTTGAGCCAGTCAGTTAGAACAAAGTCAATACCCTTTCTTTCTATTTTCAGACAGCTATATGCGCTTTGTACATTTGAAAAACACAATAATATCATGGCTAGTTGGCTACCATTCTACAATGTATGTGTTGAGTTAAAAAGTAAGAATTCAAATTATGAATGATACTATATGCCATAGAACCAAATAAAAATATATCCAAATATCTTTTGATTATTTAGCATGCCTCTATACATTGTACAATCTACATTGCAACATTGATTAACTTAATTGCTGTATGTTTTTGTGTACTGTATTTGTGTAAATTAACATTGTACAAGTGTCTGATTATTCTGAGTATGACAATGCTTAGAGTACAATACCCAAATAAAACTAAATTGATATTGAATCATTAATAATTACATATGCATGTCCTCTGTAATGTATTAGCAACAGAATCATAATTGTAGTAGCTTAATTTTATACCTGTTTTTTAAACCATTGGAGAGAAAAACAATCATCAACATTCTATCCTCGCATTTTGAAAATGAACCATGAACTTTGAGTGTACTAACAGTTCCTACGGCAACAATATCAAGTACAGTGAAAACTAGCTGGCTTTGAGGGAAAAATTAAGAAGTGGTCTTTATAGGCAGGTGGTCTTTATGTATACAGGTTGCTTTAGTACATGTTTCAATGAGAAACCATATTCAAGGGAAACAAAAAGTGTGGTCTTTATAGAGACAGGTGGTCGCTAAAGCAGGTTTTGCTGCACTATAACATGTTTCTCAACTGAAATAAAACTCAGTAAATGTCCTTGACTATTTACATACATGAGTTATATATTTCCCCTAGCTGCCTCCATAAACCAACAGAGCTACAGTACCTCAGAGTCAATACAAATAATTCAAAATCATTCATTGTCTGACGCAACTATTGAGTGTGGGATTAAAAGCCTGTTTGCAGACGCTATACAAAGGGGGGCTTTTAGAAGCATGGTGATCGCTTGTGGTTCTTCCTCAAATACTAGCTATTACAGTTTACTAATACTAGACAAAGTTGACGACTAATTTACATGCATGACACAATGCTGAGTCATATATTATACAGTAAGGTTGCATGCATCCATGCAGTACCATTTTCTAAGAAAATCACTAGGCTGAGGTCGATCTGCATTCTACTTCCTACTAACTTACTTTATACTCAATAATAATTGGTCTAATACTGATCTGCATGTACACTGAGTTATTAAAGTGACTTCATATGTGACCGTATACTAGACCAACACAGGATTAAAAAAGTTAAAGTTTGTCTGCATAAACCCTACATCAAAGTTTTGACAATTTCAGGGTCCAGACTTAGATTTTGGGCGCACATACTTGGTACTTGTTTGGGTTACCCCTTTGGCAGCTCACTCAGGAAGCTATACTGGGATGGTGACCTGGGTACCAATTAGTGTCGAACCCTTGCATGATATATGCCATGGAATTCATTCTACAACCATGCATCAACTAAATGTAACTTCTAAACTACTTTTCTGCCAGTAATATGGAAAATAAGCATTCAATATGTGACAATTTCTGAAGTCATTGATTGTTACATGTATATGGTACACTGTATGCAGGGGCATTTTATAAACTTTCTTATATACCGGTATTGTTTGTCCATATACATGTACATGTATAATACTTCACTTTATATTAATAAGTCAAGTTAAGTCATGTTCATATCACTAAGCATACCAGTGCTGCCAATTTGAAGACTGCAATACGGACGTACATTATAGAGGTGTCGTGGACGAGTGGATATGTCATCGGACTGTGGATCCCAAGGTCCGCGGTTCAAGTCCCACCGCGGCACTAATGTCAATTGGCAAGACATTGATCTACATTTGCCATCCAACCAGGTGTATGGGTACCCGGTAGGATGCGAAAGCTAATGTGCTTAGACTAGCAAGTGTGCGCTTGTAAAAATGATGCACTGGCTGGAATGCTCCCCAGGGAGTGGAAAATGTGCAAACATTGTGTACGGGTAAGCCTGAATCCGATAATGGGGGTAATAATATGATTGTAGGGCCCTCAGGGAGAACAGTGTGAATCGAGGCTACCCTGGGTAAACAAGACATATATTATTAATATAAAGAAAATTTGTATCCTGAATGGGTAAATCGATCCATCAAAGCTACAAGAAAAATGCTGGAGAGCAACTTTAAAACACCCCAGCACAGAAGTTGACCAGACATTCATAGATTAACCGACACTACACCAATGAAGCTACATGTACAAATCTAAAGACTTGTAAGTTTTGTACATGTAGGTTTACACTTACGGTACCCTAATCCTAACCCTAAATCTAGCCCTACCCCTACTGTATCTCTATTACTCTAGGTGTTGGACGTTCATGTTCCTATTCTAAACTTAAGTCGCAAAATGTATTTTATCATCTTGATTTTGAAAAGCAGACCCCTTTGAAAATAACAGCTTGTTTTTGAGAAGGTTCAATGCACAGACTGAGTGGAAAAATACATGAGTGAATGAAGGACTGATTCTCACCTCTCCTTTTCCGACATCTTCCAACTCCTTGTCTATCAGTCGTTCCAGCTCTTCCTCGGTCTGTGGCTCTCCTGGACGACTCGACTCAGCATCCATCAGATCATCGTTGGATCCTGGTACGCTAGGAGTCCCAGATCTCTCCTCTCCGGTTTCATCCATTATTTATTATGCATGCAGCTACAGTCAAGCATTCAAATATTATAGAATTTGACCATCCTTCAGCAAACGAGAAAAGTGATCGGTATAGATGTCCATTTAATACCATGTATAAATGTACAGTATACTATTAGATTCTGGGAAAGAAAATGAAAGTAAAATAAATCAGAAATAAAGCCTATATACATTTACAAGTAGACATGATACATTTACACGTTTAATGACAACATGTACTATAAATCATCGCAGTATAGTATAGGTCTGTAATGAGAATTGTTTTGGGGGGAGGGGGTATGAGAGTTTCAAGATATTTTACATTATTACCCGTATCAGACATCTGAGCTGGTCATTTACAAAACCGTATTGCCCTAGTTTTCACTTGCAGTGGGAACGGAGGGGTATATTCTTTGTATTTTCCTTGGTCTCCCTGCCCGTATAGACTTTGCGTGTAGAGACGAGTGAAAATATAGTCTCGTATTGACCGGGCCGTATTGTGTCATTTACATTGCGCATCTATTAAACCTGCGCACTTTGCGCACACTCTATTGTGACGTAAAAATCACACTAAAGGCACACTGTTTGTAGTGTATCGAAAATTTCGTCAAGCACTGCTGGTTGACAAAGTTTGTTCAGTTCTTTGAGACAGTCATGGTTGATTTATGTATTTGCTCTAGATGTCTGATAGTTTGGATAACAATACAAATATTGACTGGCTTAACTTTCGGTAGATACCATTATATTGCCCTCACAAGACCCATATTGCCCTCGTCTTTGACTCGGGGCAATATGAGTCTAGTCTGGACAATATCCCTCAAGGCCAGTCAATATTTAAGTAATATTGACTGCCTTCTGGGCAATACGACATATACGTGAATTACGACAAGTCGTATTGCCCTGAATTACATGTAGGCAGTCAATATTACTATTATTAACCACATCAGACATCTAGCTGAGCAAACAAGAAACTTTTACTATGTTATACTCTTAAATTATGTAGGCTACACAGGGCTTCCTAGAATTAGAAGTTGCAAAAACATTGTCAAACCAGCACTGTTCATCCAGTGTTTGACAGATTTTCGATACACTGCAAACAGTTTGCCTAGGGTGTGATTGTCACGTCACAATAGAGTTCGCGCAAAGTGCGCATTTTCTTATACACGATGCGCGATGTAAATTACAGTAGCTGATGCGCGATGTAAATTACAACTGGCTCTATATTATTGCTCACTAGTTAAACACGCATTTTGCCTTTGACTTTTCAGAGCGGCTAAAATATTTGTTCATTGGTTTACTGTATAACTATATTGACCGGCAAATTACACACAAATCCCATTGACTTTTCTGAGCGGGCTCAAATATTTGTTCATTGGTTTACTGTATAACTATATTGACCGGCAAATTACACACAAAATCCCATTGACTTTTCTGAGCGGGCTAAAATATTGTAATTTTGTTGGCTTATCCATCAAACCTTGAGGGCAATATAACATTTAAAAATTGCCCTGCTCAGATGTCTGATACGGTTAATAATATATAATATTCCACTCGCACAACAATTCTAGTTGATACAAGTAACTCGACACTCTGGATCAATATTTATTGATTCTTAAAATCCAGCCTGAAGCTTGCACATTGGCAGTCGCAAAGTAAAAGAATATCAAACTTATTACATGTGAGTTTTATGACATTTCTTCCTATATTTTTGTCCTCAAAATATTGCTTTCACCTGTATTCACCTGTCTTTTCGGGCTCCTTAGTAAGACAAAGTTGGATTTTTTTTATCAGACTTTCTGAAATCAAGGCCATAAAATGTGTTTGTATCAATACCAGTTATTAATTCAGAACCACAATAGACCGGTGTACTATATTTGATGCACCAGTAAACAAAGGTCGTACTTGACAACCTGAGAAAATCTAAGGAAATCAAAATTAAAAGCATAATCTGAAGAAACACATTTAAAAAAAATATTTTTTCAAATACATTTGACATCTTTTAACTACTGTAACATGTACATGCACCTATTTGTAGTAGAGATTTATATGTATTGTGTACGTACAAGTATACATGTACAGTACATACATGTACATTTACACTGTACATGTGCAGTTGTACATGTATGACATGTAGTTTTGTATAAGAGCATTGAATAAAGCCAAAACAATCCTGCTATGATTGCTACAGTACATTGTAAATATCGCACATTAGCTCATCAATTCAGCAAATGAAGACAGACCATAGAAAAATCTAAAAATAACTGCTATTAAAGGTTTTATACATGCGTATGTCCCATTTGCAGCTAGGCCCAAAAAATGAAAATGTTAAATTCCAACGGCATTTGAAAGACAATACTAATTTAGAACTTTACTCAGAATGAAAGGGCTTGAAAAGGGTCTTCAGTGGGAAAATAATGACCATTAGTCGCTGCACAATACAGTTGCATACCGATGGTGGGGTGCGGGCTGGACTAGGCAAATTCATGCAAAAAAATATATTAAAAAAATTGACTTGAAAACACATCAGACAATTAGTCTGAACTGAGTCAGGAGCAGATTTGAAGAAATTATATTTTTAAATGTTGTAAAACCAAAGATTTAAGAAGAAAACTGACCAAGTATCTGTACTAAAAATCGTACATGTAAAATTGGTCGTACACATTCGACAGCTGAAAATGACGCGCACGGTTGCGTTACGTGCGTTCTCGAATCCAAAATCATACCTCACACACACACACTCTCGCCATAACCGCGAATGGTCCGTCGTGGGGAGCTAGCCGGCTGAGAGTTTGCAGCGATACCAACGCAGCTTCGGAGCTCTGCAGCGCGCCATATTAGCGGGACTCGGAAAGGTTCGTGGTGGGAAGGCAGCGGCCTAACTTTTTGCCCAAACAACGCTAGATCGGCTGCTGGCAAAATGAAAATAACTACGATCGAGAACATCGTCGGTTTCTTAACTTTTCAGTGAGATAATTCTGAATTCTAATTGAGACTATATAATAAATTAAATCGACAAAGAAACCTCGGTAGAACTCTTATAACTGTACAAAAGCTTGTTTATTTCTTCATTTGACATTTTGTTTTCGACCATTTTTTCGTGCGCGAGTCAATGCAAACTATGTATTACCAAACTTTCAACACGCAAGGAACGGGGAACACTCGCGGACCTCATATCAAATTCGTTGCAAAAAAAAATTCAAGGGTGATTTTGAAGCAGTGAAGAATATTGGCGCTGCAATGCGCAGAAATATACTTGAAAGAAACTTAAAAAATCATACCTGAATTTTCAGAAAATCGTATTTGTATCTAGTGTACCTAGATGTGACTTGTTTATAACTCAGATTTTATGAAGATTTGTCGGGAAAAAATGTCAATTTTTTCCGTTTGGTGGTCATTTCTAGGCTAATATTTTAAAAGTTACTTCAGTAATGGTCCCGATGTTTCTTTCATCATACTCGCATGTTATTTCTACATAGATTAAACATAGATCTAGGATGGTTAAGGGTAAGAACGGATAACATTATAAAAAAAGATATATCCTTCCAACCTCCCATATCCAAGTTTTGGGCTGATTATTGCCGACCCACCGCAGCAAGGCCATTCAGATTTTCGTACGCGACCGAAGCGCCCTCTAGTGCCCCATGAATGTGCCTAGCTGGACTGAACTTATCGACTGTCGTAATCTCAGAGCCTCATTAAATTCATGTGAGTAATTCTACGGTCGCTAACATCACGCGCACATGCGCGCCCGCACCCCACTGTCGGTACTGTATGCAATTGTATTGTGCAGCAGTTTGTCGTGAATCCTGTGAGAAAGTGTGTATTATAAGTCTTTGTTTTTAGGAAAAATACTCCAAAAAAGATAAGAAAATTGAAACAAAACAGGTAATAAAACCGAACAAGTTTTAAATCATGACCATTATTTGAACAATCGATTAAGATTTAGTTGATTGGTATGTTTAAGTAGGGTATCTCCACGCCAGAGTTATGGGTCAAGTATGGATTATCAAAATGATTATGATTCTGAATTAGGCCTAGAGTCTATAGAGTCTAGCGCCAGTAATCAGTAACTAGATCAGACTAGGGTCTAGCGCCAAAATTTGTTCTCTGATCCGAGATAACTCAGAATGTTGACATTTAAATAAATCCATTCATAACAAAATGCAGGTGAAATTAATCCATTCTTAACAAAAAAACAGGTAAAATAATTTGACTATTTACTTCATTATAGCAGCAGCAATGCAATGACCAATGCAATATGTGTCAATCCTTATTAGCGCGTGTGCGCAAAGAAAAACTGCGGATAAAACTGTTGACCATACACAGAAACTAGCGTGTGGGACATATTTGTTTAACTTCTTTGCATGGGATAATATTACAATTTTTATTCCGAAATGCATCGAATTATGACATAAAATAATAACAAACATATTCTATTTTCACCTTTTAATGACTTCCAAGTAATTTATCCTGTTAATACCTGAATAAACGGTGAGAAATCGAATGAAACTTTTTCCCCATTTAGACGAGTTTCCATTCGCTCACACTCTTTTGGTATCTATGCGGTTTGCGTATATTGTTTATGGAGCAACCATCATAGCTAGATATGGGAGGAGCCTAAAAGGGGGCGAATAAAATTCCATCAATCAATTAGCAGATTAGTATATTTTTCCAGACCAAATATATATCTATGACTAGTAAAATTATTAAAAATTCCTCAAATATAGAAAATATGTTATTTGTGTTAAAATAATTATACAAAATATAATTTGAACATTAAAGTCTTTCTAATAATCATTTTGGGACGATTTGGTTGGCAAAATCTGATCAACGTCAATATGTATGATTTGATGGGCTTTGAATTAGACTAGTTATTAGAAGGCCAACTTCCTATTCAAAGTGCTTTTACATAGTTGGCGACCAAAAAGGACAAACTGGATTTATCATTGCATCTTTATGCTACTGTGATACAAAAAAATATCTCTGTTTTCTAAGATATATATATGCATCTGATATTCTCTTCTATTATTTTATTCTCAGAAATTGCTTCAGATAAAGAAATAAAAACTCATGTTGATATTGTTATCATCATAATCACCATCATCACCGTCTAATAATTTCGTCATCATAATGATGATCATAATAATCCCCCTCCTCATTATTATTATTATCATCATCATTATTATCTTATTATTGTCATCATTATTATAAGTATAGTATTTTTACCATTATTATCATCTTTACTATACTTCTAGTAGGCCTATTACTACAATTTATTCGGTGCCAGGTAAAAATGTCAGAGGTAAAAATGTCAGAGGAAAAAATGTCAGAGGTAAAAATGTCAGAGGTAAAAATGTCAGAGGTAAAAATGTCAGAGGTAAAAATGTCAGAGGTAAAAATGTCAGAGGTAAAAATGTCAGAGGTAAAAATGTCAGAGGTACAAACAAAATAAATGAGTGCCGTCATAATATCTTAGCACTTTTATCACACAGAATGTCGAGACGTACAGCTACTGCATGGGCTAGTCTATTATATTCCTTTCTTCCATAATGCATTTAAAGATAAAGTTGAGTCTTGTTTTGCGATTGCATTGTGAAAGAAACGGTGTGGAAGCATTCAGAAAAGGTTGATCATCTAGCATAAACTTGTAAGTATTGGTGTGTAGTGCAAGGTTTTGTAGTCAACAAAATGAAAAAAAAATTGGCCAAGTCTTGGTAAAGTAACAAGCACTGTACACAGAAAGATATTGATATGGGACTAAACAAACATATGGCATACAAATCGGGCCTCATTTTAAAGCTGTTACTTGTCATATATGGGATATGAAGTAATTTGAAATAGATTTTAAGGGAATAACTTGTTTCTTTGATGTTCTTCCATACTTGCATAATAAGAATGATAACAAACGCTTACACATTATTGTTCACCTTTCCCCAGAACTCAACCTTCTCTTTAATTGATGTAACATGGGCGGCTTTCTGTTTTGTATCGGAGTAACAAAGCTGCTTATTGATTTTCTCCCAGACTATTTTATACCGCAATAGTAATCGACAATATTTTATTGCAACGCGCGCACTTCGGGAATGTGATGGTGCGGTTAGCATTTAAAACATGGCTTTCTGCTTTGTTTCAGAGTATTTAAATACCAAGCCCACAAGAAAGTGGAATTGTCGGAAATATGTATTTATTGGGAATTACATATAATAATAGTCATTGCCACGCAGTTGAAATGTCCAACAATCCTTCAAAAGTGAAGGAGAAGTGGGGGGGGGGGGGGGAGGTTCATATATATCTGACCCTATTGTGGGGGCTGTACTGACTTTTCTTTTTATTTAATGATTACACCATGGAGCGACAACTCAGCCTATAAAACATGGCCAAACTTCTCGATTTTAGAAATATTTTTCCCCAGAAGTTTGCTCAGTGTACCAGTACCATTTGCTTATACAAAAGCATAATAATTATATCGGTATATAAATATTGAATAAGGCAGACTAATGGGACATGCATGGTTGCATCTTCGAGTTTTACGCCTTGCAAGAAATCATCAGACAACTGATAGCATTCTTCAAAGTACATGATTCCTACAACCTTGGTACAAATATGCTCAAAATAAGACTGAACTAATACAATACAATAAGACTAATACAATACCTGAATACAATACAATAAGAATTACTCATGACTTGAGTAAGTCTTATTGTAGGGGTATTTGTACCAAGGTTGTAGGATAATCATGAACTTTTAAGAATGCTATCACACTGTGAAAAAAATGGGCAATATTTTTCAACACTTTGCCTAACGTTGTGCCAATAGTCAACCCAACCATCTATTGGGCAATATTTTTGTATTTTTCCCAACAGCTGGTCACGATTTTCCCAACAAGTGGGCTACCGTAGTCGGGCAGTTGAAGGGTCATATATTTGCCCAAATTTTGGTCAAAATACGAAAGAATTATGCACGTGTGAAGTAGAGTACTTACGTTTACCAATACCACTAGGCAAAATATTGCCCAATAGATGGTTGGGTTGACTATTGGCACAACGTTGGGCAAAGTGTTGAAATAATATTGCCCAAATTTTTCACAGTGCAGTTGCCTAATGATTGCTTGCAAGGCGCGAAACTCAGAGTAGAAACCATGTCCCATTATAGTCTGCCTGCTCTGCCTAGGCATTGACCACTGTTCGGAAGGATAAAAAGCAAAGCATATAATATAATAGGAAGGGGATAGCAGCCGGGTCACAGTGCCCCAGAAGAAGAATACCCTCCCCCCCCCCCCCTCCCCTCCCGTCTTCCTTCGGCAATATTCGGGCAAAAAAGTCACAATTTAGGGCCGAAAGGTAAATAAATTTAAACTGGGAAAGTGGAAAATAAAGCAGCGGTGAAATAACGACTGCAGAATATCCCTCGCTGTTCTTTTTCGATAAGCCTAATATATAACCAGGGTGTAACCATAACAAACTTGTCACATGCGTTTGTTTTTATTTTATACCTCTGACATTTTTACCTCTGACATTTTTACCTCTGACATTTTTACCTCTGACATTTTTACCTCTGACATTTTTTCCTCTGACATTTTTACCTCTGACATTTTTACCTCTGACATTTTTTCCTCTGACATTTTTACACCGAGCCATTTATTCGTGTATTGTTCTTGTATTCGTTGAACACGGCCTTTAAAAATTTTGAAAATCGGCCCCAAAAATTAAGGACAGCATATTATCATAGGTCTATCTACCTACCTATTTTTGGTTAATGAAATTTTAGTCATTTTGTGTACTGTAACGAATGGGAAAGTTGTCCGTACTCTACGTCACAGTGAAATTACCGATTCTGCCAATTTGTAGTGCCCATACGTATAAATCGGATTACAACTTTTTTGTTTAAATCATAACTTATTTATTGTTTGTCCGATTTCATTCCAGTTTCTCGAGTCTGCTTCTCTGCTCTGATATTTTTTCTTTCAGCCCAAAATGCTCATTCTGTGCTCTTCAGGCACCGGTCACCAGTAGTTTCCAGCACTAGCATCAGTTTTGTTTTTGTTTAGTTGCTTGAAAAATTTCCGAGCTAATTTGCCGAAAATGTTGTTATGGCCTATAGCAACATCCCAGTGTGTAACACCGTGGTCACACCACAAAATTCAGAAATATTATTATCCTTTTGTATATATATCCATATAGACATACTTCTTTAAACAAGCCATGTAACCTTGGTCGTGTCTGTGGCTTGTCAGGCATGAGCAATGAGCAGGCAACAACATTTATTTCCTGCATAGAGTGGTTAAAGCATATTTTATTCATTCACATTTCATTAGTGCTGAAGCTCTACCCTCTAATAATTCCCTGAAGCCCCCAATTATTCTTGATTATACATGCATTTAAGTGAGGCATGAGAAGGAAATGAATGCAAGGAATCCGAGATCCCGAGCCCCTAAACCCCACAAGATTATTTATCTAGAAGCGCTACTCGGCAAATCTTCCTCAACTCAGCCATTGGCTTTTTACTATTCAAAGGGGGGGGGGGGGACCGGATATTAATTATATGGCTCCTCCTATATTATGTGGTGAAAGTGTGTAAATCTAATCATCAATTCTCTTTATACTTTACTCATTCAGATGTAAATATGTACACATATCCGCCCCCATCTACACAACTCATGCATACAATGTTTATCAGATAAAGAAAAGAAAACGTATTGATATAGTTTAATTATACATCCGCATTTTCTGTAATCAACTGGTGACCCTGAATAGTCCACTAATTTATTTTTGTGACGAACAATAACAAATCATATTACTAATGATCAAACTGCTAGAAAAGGGAGTGGTCTGTTGCGTGTTTCACTTTAGTCATCATTACAAAGTTTTATTTTGTCGAGTTAATAGGAGAGCATCAGTTTTCTTGTCACTGAACTTCGTCACGGAAAATCGTGCTGCACACCAACGAACGGTAAGGTAAAACAGTTTTAATATTACTGGAGTGTATTTTACTGATATTCTGTAAACGTTCTCTCTCTCTTCTTCTTCTCTCTTTCTTTCTCTCTCTCTCTCTCTCTCTCTTCCTCCGTCTCCCTCTCTCTCATTTTTCTCTCGCTCTCTCAGTCTCTCTCTCTCTCTCTCTCTCTCTCTCTCTTTCTCTCACCCTCTCTCCCCCTCTCTTTATCGGACGGCTCTTAATTTTTTTTCTTTCTGTCTACCAGACTCGATAACTCACTCGCTATTAATTATTTTGGTGTAATCAGGGCAATACAGACTGTCATCTATCCAGATGATCCATCTCTCGAATATCCATACAACTGTAATCGATCGCTGTTCCGTTCCTCTTCAACACGTTCAGAAAAATAATCACACATTTATTTTGCTTTTTTATAAGTTCACGTGGTGTACACATTTAAGCCCGGCGTATTACTCTACGATCTGTCTACGATCTGATTGAGAATCGTTGTGACGTCAGGCCTGTACTAGTGCGATTGTCTATGATTCGAAGCAGACTTGGCTTTTATTTTAGATGAGCTTAAAGATAAACTTGAGTTCTGGTAAAAAAAATAAAATGAATTCTCACAGAATCCAACGAAACTTACACTGAATGTTCAAGATTACAAATAAATGTCATGTGCCAAACAATTTTGGAAGAAAATGTATACTGGCTGAGTAATGAGCATAGAAAGATAAGGAAATCAGGGTAGTACTAGCCCCGACACCATGTGTGTTGTCCCATATACATCTTTCTGTGTAAGTGATTGCTACTTTACCAAATTTATGACGATTTTGATGACTCCAGAACCTTGCATTACACACCATTACTTACATGCTATATGATCAACTTTTCTGATCCATTCCACACCTTTTCTTTCACAATGCAATCGCATTACCAGAACTCAAGTTTATCTTGAGCTTAATGCAATGAAATTCCGGTTGTTAATATTCTTATCATTATTTAGAATCTAAATCAGGAGGATGGTGGTTGTTTAGATGTCCATATCTATAATAACCGCCTTTTATACGAATATCGTATTAGAGGTGAATCGTTTAGTGTGCACCAGGCATTACACAGTAATCTGATTTCTTTTGTTTGATTTATTTATTAACTTCTCTTTATTATCATTTTTCACATTTACTTTACAAATTGATAACGACAAAATCAGCAATGGCCATCATCAGATGAAGTAGATTATATTGCAAAGTTAACATTATAGTTCATATGATGTTACGATGGTGAACTTCAATTTCTTTCCTTTTTATACATACTTTTTTTTTTTAGATGGATTTGTCAACGACGTCATCGAAGTTCGTTTTGTTTATATGTCTGCTTGTTGGCATTGGACCAATGCTCGCAAAGAGTCAGAGTAAGTAGAAAGGTTAAACATATGGAAATATTTGTTTGTGTTAAGAGTGTAATTACCCCCCCCCCCATACTAACCAGATTCTTCTTCTTATTATTTCTTTCTCTCCCTCTCTCTCTCTCTCTCTCTCTCTCTCTCTCTCTCTCTCTCTCTCAGGGGCGTCGCTAGACCTTTTTCAGTGGGGGGGGGGGGGGTGGTGTAGAGGCCAACGATTACCGACAAAACTAGCCACCAATTACCGACAAAATTAAATGTCCAATATCTACAAATTCAACCCTATAAACCTGGGGCCGAAGGCTAAATTGTTTTTCCTATGGACTATCTATAGTACTTGCATATGCGCAAAATGGTCATTTTCCTCGACGACATAAATATACGAATTATTTCTTCAATAAAAATTCAGTCAGCTTCATAGCTCTATATTTTAATGCAGGCGCGGAGCTAGGATCTTATTTTAGGGAGGGGCGGTAGTGAGCAAGAGAATCACTTAAAAGCCCGCTCATTAGGGGGTGTGGGTGATGGGCCTCCCGCGCGAAGCGCGGAAGCTTAGACGTTTCCTTCAATTATTAGCAAAGAAGACGATTAATTATTGTACCGTTTTCGACTGTTAATCCTTGTCTAAATTCAGTTCCCCCTCCCCCCTCCTGCGCAAAGCGCGGAAGCTTTGACGTTTCATTAAATTATGAGAAAAAGCAGACGATTCGGTGTACTGTTCTTGACTCTTAATCCTTATTTGAATGAAGTTTTGACGTTTCATTGAATTATTAGAGAAAGAAGACGATTCGTCGTACCGTTTTCGACTCTTAACCCATTGCTTACTGGAACCTGGTGGTCCCTGTGCTTAGCCTATGGGAATTAATTAATTCAGTAGCCAACGGGTTAATAAGCCCTATTCATCTGAATTCAGTTCCCCCCCCCCCCCCCTCTCGCACGAAGCGCGAAAGCTTTGACGTTTCCTCATATTATTAGAGAAAGAACACGATTCGTTGTACCGTTTTCGACTCCAAATAAGCCCTATTAATTTTGTCTGAATTCGGTTTTTCCCCTTCGCGCGAAGCGCGGAAGCTTTGATGTTTCCTTAAATTGTTAGAGAAAGAAGACGATTCGTTGTACCGTTCTCGACTCGTCTAAATGAAGTTTCCCCTTCCGCGCCAAGCGCGGAATTTTTGGCGTTTCATCACAATATAAAGAAAGGAAGACAATTCGTCGTACCGTTGTTGACTCTTAAAATTTGTTTGAATTTAGTTTCCCCGAAAATGTTAAACCTCTGATTTCTTTAGCTGATATTATAGGAAAGTGAAACTTCGAGAAAATACAAGTTTTGTATAGTTGTAGTCACTCTCGAAGTCGTCACAGCGGATAAGAAGTCACAGTTCGTAGGGAGAGATGTATATTGTCGGTCGACCGACAATATACATCTCATTGAAATAGTACATCTGCATTGAAATAGTACACGAGGATCGGGCAAGAATACCGACAAAGCTGACCCGACACAGCAACATATTTACCCGTGTCTTTCTTGCTCTCCCGACGACACGACTCCACCCAATAACCCCCTTCTCTCATTTACTCCCATTCCTCCTCTCTCTCAGACTCTTACCTCCCATCTCTCTCCTCTCTTTCATCTCCCGTTTCTATTGTTTCCCTTTCACTCTTTTTTCTTCTTTTTTTCTTTCTTTTCTTTCTTTTCTTTCTTTTCCTTTCTTTCCTCTCCTCCCTCTTTTCTTTTTTCTCTTTCTTCTTCTCTTTTCTTTCCTTTCTTTTCCTTTCTTTCCTTTCTTTTCCTTTCTTTCTTTTATTTTCCTTTTCTTTTTTTTCTTTTCTTTTCCTTTCCCTCTCTTTTTTCCCTCTCTTTTTTCCCCTCTCTTTTTTTCCTCTCTTTTTTCCCTCCCCCTTTTCTCTTTTAACCGACGGCAGCGCAATTTTACCGACAATATCCTGACAGATGGGGGGGGGGGGTGTCGCACCCCCACACCCCCCCCCCCCCCCCATTTGGCGACACCCCTGCTCTCTCTCTCAATTTCTGATTTCGTTCCATTATGATTACACAGTCTCTCACTGTTATGCCCCATCTCTCACCCTTCTCTCTGTATATACACTGTTGCTCATAAAGTTGGAATATTTTATTTTACCCCAATTTATGGAATTATTTTGACAATGATTTATTCCTAATACATTTAGATAATTATAGTATACATTCTCAGATTTTACTAATTTGCCAGTGTTTGTTTTGCGTGATTGCTAAAGCATGTGTATGCTACTATGCTTATCAACTAGGGGATCTACGCCCTTAAGTCATAAATGACAATAATGAGGATTAATGCCCACAAAAGGGCACTAATATAGCACATCGACACGGTTTTGATCCTGGGGCCTCACAGTTACGAGGCTATTGCTTTGCCACTGAAAATGACTGTACGCAGCGGGGGTTAGGGCAGGGGGCAGTTCCCACAAATTAAACAAAAGAAAAAAGAAAATGCAATCAATTATCAATAATCCATTGCATTTTACCCCGGTCCCCAACATAAAAAATCCCCTGTACGGCCATGCATTATGGCTCAAGGCAAGGGCACACAGAATTTTTTTTCTGGAAAAATAACTTAGTTCCTGGCCCCGAGTTTTTAGGGTTAAATTTGTAGACATTGGCAAAAATAATACTTGTCGGTAATCGGTGGCCTCTACACCCCCCCCCCCCCCCACTGAAAAAGGTCTAGTGACGCCCCTGATAACACAGTTCATACACTCGAGATAATTTTTGTACCAGACCACCGTGTTTGTGCATTGTGCAGCAGCGAAGCATAAACAACGGCGACGTGACAGATAACTTCTAACCAATCAGTAGGCCTCGTTTTTTTCGGGAAGTGCCGATGGGCATCAATGCGCCAAATGTGGTTCTCAAATTGCAAAAAAATTCCTGCTCATAGTTTGGGCTTGAATAAACAAGAGTGCTATAATTATGTGAGATCATGAATTTTTACCTGCCTGTATGAATGACCTTTTTTTATCCTATACATTTCATTGCTACAACCAGTTGTGACGACTATATTGCTTTGTGAAGGCGACATCCGACTGATAGACGGCATGGGAGGAAAGATTCAGGTCTTGTCTGCGCTTTATGGTCGCATCGATCCATCTCTCTGTCTTTCTACCACTACCACCACTACCACCACTGACTCCACCACAACAGAAATCCCTATAATAACAAATGCAGACCCCGTCGGCGGAGGTGCTCTACCACAACCAACACTACCACCTGAACAAACCATCGCCGCCCCCACCACCGCCGCCGTGGCCTCGATCCCATGTAAAAGTACCGCTACTGCCAGCCTGATCACGGACATTTGCAATGGAAGGTGTCAGTGCATAATGGCTGCCTCGAATAGTTTGTTTGGGGACCCCTGTCCTGGCCTGACCGAGTATGTCACTATGACCTACACAATAATTATTGAGTAGTAACCAGGTATTATATCCCTGGTCATGAACCACCTTTGCCCCGCTGTTGATAATAATAATAATTATATAGAATATTTATGAAGCGCATAATAAATTGTAAATTTCTCTATGCGCTTGACATAACAAATTTGAATATATTTATACAAAAAAATTATTAAAAAAATGATGAGACAGGAAAGTGATTTCGTATTAAAAAAGTAAACACGTCTCAATCAATATGGAATCTTAAAGTCCCACTCGCTGGCGTATTGAGTATCAAGATGGTTTCGGGGAGGGGACATCTTCTTTTAAACGATCTCCTTTGGCATGGTTATCGACTTTTCAGGATTCCTTGTGTTTATAGAGCCGGGGGGGGGGGGGGGTACTCATATTTGGCTTGGACGGGGGTGTGCCGCAGGAGCCTCGAAACCCCTACCCATTTTTAAGAGTCGTTAAGGGAGGATTTTTCTCGGAATAAAGGCCCCTTTTTTCACGATTAGATTTTGAAAAAACGGACCCATGTTTGGAGATAGTTTTGTTAAAGATTGGGCTCATGTTTAGGGATTTATAGTGAAAAGGTGACCTATTAGAGTGGCACATCCCCATATGTCGTAATAGAGCAGGGGATAGAGGTCGTGTGTCAGATGTAAATTTGTCAGAGGTAAAAATGTCAGAGGAAAGGGAGAACTCTTAACAATAGATGTTTCCATCATTACGGTTTCAACTTTTCTTTACCGCGATCACCTTATTCAGCTTTATGAATGCTTAGTAAATGAGCCTACATCATTCTGTGCGCGTTTTAAAGAAAATATAAGGGAGGCAGACTGGGTTGGGGGTTATATTCTGCTTAAAAAGATGGTTTACCACACGTTACGAAATCCACAGGTACACCAGTTTGATTACTGAATGCAATAATTATTTGTTTTCAATAAAACAAAAATTCAGAAGATAATTTCTGTAGGTACAACAATTATCTCTGAAATGTTTGCATTTGCATTCCTCCGGAAGAAATAGGTCTATCGACTTTCAAATGTCTACCAAATACCTGAAATATGTTAACTGGTACCAGGCGCGTACGCAGGGGGTGGTTTTGGGGTTAAACCCCCCCCCCCTCCCCTCGAGTTTCTTATGTGTATGTTTAATGTATGTTATTTTGGAAAACCCTCCCCTTTTGAGATTTTTTTTTTTTTTTTTTTTTAAATTAACAACAACAACAAACAAAAAAATTGCCAATGGCTGACCTTAAAAAGGTGACCTTACCCCCCCCCCCCCAACTGGACAATATGTCAAAATTTTCAAATTTTGAGACCTAAAAAAAAAAAGTGTCCTCTTAACCCCCCCCCCCCCCCCCCGCTCATTCAGCGGCTGGCTGAGTCGTTGCGATTTTTGGGGGGACTCTAAAAAAAAAAAAAAAAGTGTATACCCCCCCCCCCCCCCGGTTATTCAGCGGCTGGCTGAGTCGTTGCGAAATTTTGGGCCCGATTTGAAAACCCTCCCCTTGAAAAAATCCTGCGTACGCCACTGACTGGTACTATCACTGTTCCCCAGGCAGGCCAATTCTAGAACTCATCCACCAACCAAGGATTCGTCAACATCAAACACAGCGCCATCTACGAGAAAGATCCTCAACTACCCGTCAACAAAAGACATTGGCTGTGAAAACTGGATTAATTAACATACAGTCATGTACAACTTACGCTTGAAAAAATGTCATTTGAAGGGGACCAAAATTCTATGAAATCTGCCCCTCCGCTTTTTCAAAAAAATTAAAATTAAAAAAAAGAAGATGACTTTATTTCGAGAAAAAACGAAAATGACCCTTAAAATTGGTTTGGGTTTCGAGGCTTTAGCGGCACACCCCGTCAAAACCAAATCTGAGTACCCCCCCCCCCCGGAATCTCGCTGATCACAGTAATTCAGTACGGGTTGTTTTCTATTTTCTTTTATTGTTTTTATTCTTCTTCTTCTCTTTCTCTCTTTCCTTCTTCTTGGGGTCAATATTAACACCGGAAAGATGAAAAAAGGCATCTTTATTTCTTTGAAAATATATATTTTTTCTGGATTGCGTCCCTTCAAACTTCGTTGATTCCACACCCGACACAATGGGATATTGATATAATATTTAAAGTCCCCAAGTAGTTAGCTGTGTTTTTTCTCTAGTCTGTAAATGTGCTTAATCTTGTTGTTCATCTATTTCTTATTAGAGCTTTTAGAACGAAAAACTGCTAAGTTGAGACACCGTTTTTTTAAACATACGGAAGTAGGGAACCTTACCATTAAGTTAACGTGAGGCATTGCAAATTCAAAGCTGTTGTAAGTATTTCAAACAGACATTATATAGGATGTATTCTTTAACATAGTAATGTGTATTTAAACTGAATTTCAACTCATTATGATTACAGTAAATATCTATGTTTGAGATCTGGTGTAAACAGTTCGATGGTACGCCCTGCTGTGCTTAAATGTCAGATAAAATTGTATATGCTATTTCCCTCCATAATGTTTGTATAGTCTTATGTTGGCCTTATCATTAAAATCAAACTGAAAATCAGAGGAAGTAACATTTATTAGCTCAAGACATGTCAACATGAAATCGGCTGAATTGGCAAAAACACGACAAATTCCTAATGTAGACCTCCTGTGTAGATTTTTTACTTTGTATAAGATGCATAAGGCTAAAAAAAAAAGAAGATGTTGTATTGCTTTGCGACTGACCCGAAAATCTTAAAATCTGCGGTCGGCTTTTTATTACATTTTTTTAAACCGATTTTTAGAAACTAAATGTTTAATGAAATTTAAAAAATGTATTTTGTTCGTTTAAATGGGATACAAATGCATGAAACCATCAAATTATTCCCAAATTCTCACTTGTCTTCTGCTCTAGTTTCGAAATCTTTCTAGCCTACGTGTATACACCATGCACTCTATGAAGCCAGCGAGATTTGGGCGACGTTCCCGGTTTTGAGTTTTTATGGGCGACGGTCGCTGTTTTGAGGGGGAAGAAATAAACCTTACCGACCGACCCAGGTTCTGGCACCTAAAAGGGCAATACAACATCTTTTTTTAGGCCTAAGGTTAAATTATGTTTACGATATCTTCTTCATGTTGTTGTTGGTGATGGTTTAATGGCTATTGTCCATAGGTGATTAAAGCTACCCATTAACTGTGCGGGAGTGGAAATGGGCTCTTTTTGAGGAGTAATAATTATATGAGGGGTATACGTTGAAAGCTTTAATCCATTCCAAATCATAGTGGAATCCATTCCGTAGTTGAAATACTTTTCATTAATATAGTGGATTCAAGTTTTGATTTTGACAACCGCTCTTTTCAGGTTTGTAATTACCACTCTATCATTCATTTGCCTCTGTTTGTGTTAGTGTTTGTAGCCTATTTTGTGTAGGATCATGTACCTGTAACTATTTGATGATCAAACCACTTTATAATTCCGTTGGTGTATTTTCCATTTTCCATTTTATTGTCTCATCCATAATTATTACGGTAAGAAAGATTTTATTCCAATGATTGTATACATTGGGTTTGAATGATTTTATGAAAGTGGTGATAACATTCAATTTAAAACCTATTTAGAAGTGTTCCCTAATAATAACTATACCTAAGGTGGATTTCCACCATTTGATGTAATGACTCTTGATGTATTGTGCACCCCTTTCCCTCTGTATAATGTATCTCTCTTAATTTGTTTTAGTCTATCTCAGTATATCTCTGGAATATTCTATATAGGTCTCCAGAAGCGCCCCCTCCCCCCCTCTCTCTCTCTCCCTTTCTCTCCCTCTCTCTCTCCCAATCTCTCTCCCCCCTCTCTCTCTCCCTCCCTCTCTCTCTTTTTTCTTTTCATTCCGTCTCTGTCTCCATTTCTCTCTCTCTCTCTCTCTCTCTCTCTATGTATAGATATCTTAATAATCTCACCCCTTTTCTTTGTCTTCACCGCGAATTTAATTCCCTCCCTCTCCCTCTCTCTCTCTCTCTCTCTCTCTCTCTCTCTCTCTCTCGTTCAATCTTATTATTCCATTATTTACCGTAATATTCCAATACTCTCCATTTAGTCTAAATTCTCTGTCTATTGTCTCAAATTGTAATTTCAAAATAGAGTAGTAAAGTGCACAGACGAACAAACATACCGCTGTTAAGTACTAAGCAAAATTTAATTCAATGTTAACTCATTAAACAATATTTCTGATTGTAACCATAAAAAAGGGACACAGCACTGTTCCTCTATTTTACCTATGATTTAGACATGAGATGGAATGTAACACTCTTTTAGGTTCTATGGTTATCTTCTTAATAAATATTCTATTTCTAAATTTTTATTTGAAATCGTTATCGTGTCATGCTTTTGAAAAGTTTTCCTATTATTTTTCTGATTAGGTTAAATCGAAAATTAATTAAGAGCCTAAGTGATGCAGAATATCTGTTTGAATGACTTTTCCATTTTACCCTCCCCTCCTTAGCAGAAACAACAACACCCCACACACACACAGGCGCGTACGCAGGGGGGTGGTTTGGGGGTTAAACCCCCCTCGAGTTTTTTTAATTTTTTTTTTTTAAATAATTTTTTTTTTTTTAATTGCCAATAGGTGACCTTAAAGAGGTGACCTTAAAAGGTGACCTTCCCCCGGCTCCCCCAACTGGACAATATGTCAAATTTTCAAATTTCGAGACCCCCCCCCCCCCCCAAAAAAAAGGTGTCGTCTTACCCCCCCCCCCTCCCCCCACCCCCCCCCCCCCCCCCCCCCCGCTTATTCAGCGGCTGGCTGAGTCGTTGCGAAATTTTGGGCCCGATTTGAAAACCCTCCCCTTGAAAAAATCCTGCGTACGCCACTGCACACACACACACACATACACATTCACTCACACCACTATATATAGTTACACAGATACAAATCTAATTACTTAGTTTTCTCGAATAATCTCTTCCCGAAGTTAAAGAGCAATGTCCCTGGCTCGGCAACTTGTTTACTGTGGATTGTCCAAGTATTTGTACTGTACTATAAATAAGTTGACGTTTATCTCGTCATTGGACCGCGGACTGTTGTCACGTACGGAATTACTATACGAATAATGTTACATAGCTATTTATCTCTTTTAGTCAATTTATTCAATAAAGTAATGAGATGTTTGGATATTCCTAACTCGGAGAGTCACAAAGAAATATGATTTTTTTTGTTGTTGTAATTGCTCTTTTTTATGGGAGAGGGGGTTCTATTAAAAAATTGGCAAATCAATGTTGTGCGAGCCTCTTACGAAATATAATATTCGTGGACAAATTAAATTTACGTATCGATGGCAAAATATTTAACGCACGACAGTCGCAAATATGTCGCAGGACTATCGTGGGACAGACTCTCGACAGCCACAAGACATAGAAACCACAAAAAAAAAAAAAAAAAAAAATCGTCGAACAAAAAAGGTGCATGTCCAATTTTGCCTCACGACGGCAGGTCGATGCCACGAAGCTCAAAATCTCGTAGGACTGTCTTGCGACGACCCTCGATGACCCACGATTTCCCCAAATTTGCAGTCGTGTCGTGGCACAAAATGTGTCGTGGAATCGTTGTGACCAGAAAGAATCAGTATGCAGTGTGTTTTCGACATAGCTCCAAGAACTTAAGAAAATTTTAAAAAATCAATTAATTTATAAAAGCGGAGCTGGGTCAGCTCCCTATTTCAGGAAGGAATACTTTTGTCACTGCGCAGGATTACCTGATATCTAAAGGTATACACTGTAAATGAAAACAAATAACAAAATAAACAAACATATAACTTAAAGGTACAGTGGTAAAATTGCGGCTTAAGGGTTATGGGTGCAAAATATCCATTTAACATTGTTTAAATATTGCCTTCAGATGTTTAGATGGCAATACTTCAACATATATTCGTAAAAAAGCAGAAATATATGCCCAAATGTTCAATGTTGAAGCGTATTCGTGATATCTAACCAGGCCGGATCGATATGATAATTTACCAAATATATCAATTAGTAGGCGGTTTCCCAGCAAAATTTGAATCGTCACGTATTAGTCAAAACATATTCTTTCACATGATTAGTAATAAGAGATTCCATTTCATTATTTGAGAGGAGGGCGCTTCCAAAACTGGTCCTTTAATGGAGCTCTTTCCCGAAGCCTGTGGGTCTTTGTTGAACATTATGATTCTGCTCTGGGATGCAGGTGAGGTGTACATGTACGCCCCTATTAGAAGGTCTTTAATTTTCATTAAAATCATCGGAGGGGGGGGGGGGTGCTTTCAATAGACTTCAGAGTGAAAGCCCCCTTTGTATCACCTCGTGCAAGTTTAGGATTATGACAAGTAAAACCCTGTCCATCATTGTGTGCATGTTGCTAGGTTGTTTACAGACTGGAGAAGGATAGGATGGGACTGTATAGTGAGTTAATAAGACGACACCAATGGCCCTTGTTATCTCTTTAAACGAGTGTAATTGATAGTGTTTTAGACCCCTTTCCCTTTCCCATCAAAACAACAATGATTAATACATAACTGCCAAATATTGGGACAAAACGATTATTTTTCAATCTTTTCTTTGTTCTAAGTTCATAAGAACCGCATTTTATTGACTAATTGCATTGCCAGTGCCTTAAAAGGACGTGACATTGCCTTAAAAGAATGCCACACGTTGCAGTCCACGTTCTCGTCGTGCAAATCTAAAAGTCCCTATCGATGAATATTATGTGGTAAAAGTGTGTGTATTTAATTATCAATTCTGTTTATAATTTACTCATTCAGATTAACATTGTGCATTTATTTCCTTCTCAACAGTACAATATGAAACACAATATATATATATACATGATATATGTAACAATTATTTCAACATAGAGTATACAGTAAATAATTCAGATACGGAAGGAGGCGAAAACCCGGAAAGCATAGCTTGAGTTGGGAACGCCCATAATAAATTAACACAGATGTAAATATGTACACATATTCGCCTCCATCTACACAAGTCATGCAAACAATGTTTATAAGGAATAGAAGAAATCGAAATTGTATTCATGTTTGTATTTATTTTGTTTTATTTACCCAGGGTAAAACCATCAGTGAGTAAAACAATATTATACTCGGGGGCCTTTGATACACACAAAGTTAATTATACAACCGCTTTTTGTGGTAATCAACTGGTGACCCTGAATGGTCCACTCATTAATATATGTGACAAACAAAATTAGCTACTTGTCATATCACAAATGATCGAAATGCTAGATAAGGAAGTGGTCTGCGTGTTTCACTCTTTGTAATCATCATTGTAAAGTGGAAAGCTTCATTTTGTCGAGTTATAGGAGAGCATCAGTTTTCTTGTCTTTGAACTTCGTCACGGAACATCGACAGGAAGGTAAAACAGTTTTACTGGAATTTATTTCATTTATGCTGATCGATAATTCTGTACACGTTTTTTTCTCTCTCTCTTGTTCTCTCTCTCTCTCTCTCTCTGTGCCTGTTTGTCTATATCTGTATGTCTATATATTTCTTTCTCTACCCCGTCTGTCTGTCTCTGTCTGTCTGTCTCTGTCTGACCGCCTACGATCCGATTTTGGAATAATTGGTGCTAGCATTTTTATATCAACATTTAAAACATGTAAAACATTAGTGACCGAGGATCTGAATAATCATATGAACGAATACAATCTCGATTTCAAGGGATTTCATGCTCCCTTCATTGGGGGGGGGGGGGGGGGGAAAGCTGAATCGGCTCAGAATCGTAGTATCGTCAGGCAAGTAAGTGCGATCGTCTACGATTTGAAGCTGATTCCGTTTTTATTCTGACTAGAAGAGTTAAAGTAACTCAAATTCCGTTTTTTTTTTTTATTTTTTTTTTTTAAATATTATTCTTATCATTATTGAGAACATAAATCAGGGGGACGGTGGTTGTTTATATTTCCGTATCTAAAATAACCGCCCTTTATACGAAAATCGGATACAATGAGAATTGTGTAGTGCTGTGCGCCGGGCATGCATATTACCCAGTAATTCATAATCTTATTTAGTTTATTCGAGTAATTCATTAATTTAATTTATTCAGTTCTCTTCATTATCATTTTTCCACTTACTTTACAGAATAATAACATAATCATCAGCGAACATAATGGATATATTATCAGAAGAAGTAAATAACATTGCAAACTTAACATTATGGTTCATAACGTTACTATAATTATAGTGAGAACTGCAACAAATTCGAAGCTTGAATGTATTATTATAACACTATTCATACTGACCATTGTGGCGTATTCTAACATCGGATATGATTCATGTTGTGCTTCAGTATTGAAATGCTTTGAAATAACTAGTGAATGGCCTTTTCTCTTGATTTTTTTCCTTCTTTCTTTTCTTTCTTTCTTTCTTTTTCTTTTTTACTTTTTCCTTCATTGTTCCTTCTTTCTGTCTTTCATTCATTCTTTCTTACTTAATTCTTTCTTTTTAGATGGATTTGTCCAGGACGTTATCTAAATTCCTTTTGTTTTTTTGTCTGCTTGCTGGTAATGGATCAATGCTCGCAAAGGGTCAAGGCAGTAAGTATAGGAAAGTTATGAAATATGTTCTAAAAACATGATTTTACGTTAGGGTTTAATCCCCCCTCCCATACACAAATCCGATTCTTCTTCTGCTCTCTCTTTCTCCCCCCTCTCTCTCTCTCTCTCTCTCTCTCTCTCTCTCTCACACACACACACACTCTCTATTTCTGATTTCATTCCATTATAATTACACAGTCTCTCGTTTTTAAGCCCCACCTCTCATCATTCTAACTCTC